CTGCCTGGGCTGTGCTGGGTGCCTGAAACCTCCCCACGCTGGTGGGGGCCAGCAGAAGCCTGGGAAGGGCCAGTCCTGTCTCCTGCTTTGTGGTCAGAGCACAGAAGCCCAGCCAAGCAGGCTGGTTGCTTTTAATTAGGACCTGCATGAGGCAGCCCCCTCCCTGTTCCTTCGGGGGGGATTCTCATTTTGGGGCTCACCAGTTTGCAACCAGCGAGTCACTGCTCTCCCACCTCCCAGGGCACCAGGTTCCCCTGTCCCTGGGCAGCCTGACAGCTGGGGCAGAGCATACCCAGCCAAACACCTCTTACAAATCATCCTGCATAGTTCACATTCTCGGCCGGTTTATGAGCGTTTTAGCTCCTCGTATTGATCAGGGCTGGAGCCGAAGTAATTACGTTCATCAGGAATAATTTCCCCCTGATTTTGAGTCATATTTGAGCTGGTGCCCATCTCCTCCACTCCCCCCTGGACACAGGCAGCTCTCTGCTCCCTGGTACATACTTTCCAGGCGACATCGTTGCTTTCATAACCATGGTGAGACTCAGAGGATTGTTTTTCTCAGCTGGATCCCACACACACTAAAGGTTTCAATTGTGTCTTTATTGACTTGACTGGGGATGTGGATAAGAGGAGGTGGTTTATGTGAAGTTCACTCTTGGGAAATGTCTCCAGATGCCTCTGGCATCAGGAGGGGGCCATGGGGAAGGGCTGGGGGCCTGGCATCTCTCTGCACATGGGGGCATCAATGGGCTCAGCCTTTCCAGTCTTGCTCAGGAGATGGAGAGCAAGCCCAGCCCTTGCTCCTGCTGACAGTGAGCCAAGAGCAACCCCACTCTCTGGGGACGTGAAGGGCTGTGATGTTTGGGAACAGACACAACCTGAGTCACCCAAACCTCTTTCAGCACCACACACTTCCCAGGCACAGCACCAGCTGCCTCATGGGTGCAGCACTTGCAGCCTCCAAAGTCTTACCAGAGCCACAGAAAACAGGGCTGGAAGGAGGCACAGACATCACCAAACATCCCCGTTTGAAAGCAGAGCTGGCACATCCACAAGGTGAGTTTGGAGAGACCTGAGAGCATCACTGGCTGCACCTCAGTGTGTGCCTCAATTTGCAGCTTCTTTGATGCTGCAAAGGATATGGCAGCTGCTTGAGAACACACAGCACCCTCGAGCAAGACAAGGAGGGAAAACATTGTCTATTTTAGCCTGAAACCACAAGAAAAACAGAGATAGTCGAAAAGAATGAGCCATTTGATCAGGAAACATGAGTTAGCTGAGCAGGTCCATGAAAAATACCAAGGGTCTTTCATTAACCACACAAGGTCAGGATGTGGGGATTATATCTTGTCTGAAAGATAAAACTTCTAGAGAGATTTTTTAAAAGGAGTTTATGTTTGATGATGTTTGATACCAAAAATAAACTCCCAGAGGATCCTAATGTTCGATACGTGATGATTTCTGACACTGTTTTCCAGATAATAATGGAAAACCTCATCTGGCCGAAGTTTCCATGCTTTGTTTTACAAAAGTCTTATTCTTTGAGTTATCTGAATGTTTAACTTAGGGGGGACAGTTATGAATTGCTCTTGTCTGGACTGCAGGAAAAAAAGAAAAAAATCCCCCAGAAGTACTGCCCAGGGTTTGATGGGTTTAATATGCCTCTCAAGCAAAAGTGTTGTCCTTTCCCAACAGCTGGTACAAGGCTGGGCTGTGCTGATGAGAAGCCCCTCAGTCTGAAGGATGAGCTCTGGCTGTAGTTTTGGCCAAGCCAAGCCTTTTCTTGGTTGTGACAGCCCATTTGCTCCTCCTGTAATCGCTCAGCTCCTGCCTCTTGGCAACGTCAGACTCTGAGACCAGAACCAGCCCCAAGTCCCATTTATCAGTTTTCTAACGAAACCTACTGAAACAATGCCTGGGGAATGGTGAAGAATTAATTGTGCCCAGCACCAGGCACCACTCCCCTTTCCCCTCTGGCCAGGGCAATGCCTCCTGCCTCGCTGGCCTGGCCACCGTGGCTGGGAGCTTGGAGGGGTCAGCTGGTCCCAGATGAAGCCGAGGTTTCTGGTGCAGTTGGCCTGGCCATCAGAAACTGGACAGCAGCCCTGAATTCTTTTCTTGCAAGTCACTTGGACAGGCACCAGCTGGTAAATACTTTCAGTGTCTCCATCCCGGCTCTGGGGTGGGAGCAGTGACCTCAAGGTAGAAGACTGCCTGGCCTGCCCCTCGTCCCTCAGGGTCCTCCCAGCCTGGCTCTGCTGTCCAGCTAAGGTGTGAGAACCAGAGGGAATGAAAGTGCCCAGACAGAGCTGGAAATAGCCATCACCACCTCTCTCAGCTCTTGCTGTTTGAAACTGGAGCCAGATTCATTCTGGGTAGGAAACAACCCTCCCATCCTGCCAAAAGCAGAGATATTTCAAAATTTCCCAAAGCCATGGTGTTTCCAGAAGTCTCATGAAAAACATCCAGCAGCCACCCTAAAGTGTCCAACAGCCGAGGGAGACCTGAGGCACCTCCTTTTCAGTTCAGGGCTCTTGGCTTTTCCAAGCTGGATGTCTGTCCAGCTTTGCCACCGGTGATGTCCATGCTCTGTGGACAGCCCTGCTCCTCTGCAGCAGGGATTTGAGGCAGGAGTGCCCAGAAGCAAAGGAAATGTCCTCCCCACCAAGGTACGGAGCTGGGCTCAGCCTAGACCCGTGATTTCACTGCTGATGTGAGGGCAAACAGAGCCAGCCAGGACCCAGGACAGCCCCAGTGCTCCCTGCCAGAGATGGACATGCAGACAGCAGTCTGATTTCAGACAGCTCCAGGGAGGGGGTTCAACAGACAAAGTAAAGAAGAGGAGTCTGGAGCCAAGGAAAGGGATGGAACAAGAATATGGTCTGGGATACCCATCCCAGATGGATGCAATTTCAGCTGAGCAGGGTGTGCAAATGAGAGCTTTGCCATGTTATTCATGATGGCACGTTAAATGGCAAGCACATGAAAAAACTCAGCTCCCTAAAATGTAAATTCACTGGGGCAGTTCCTTCATTTCTATAGAAAGAGCTTGCCAGAGGCTAACTCAAAGGAGATGTATCCAGATCCCTGTATCAACTATTTTCTTGCACAACTGACCACAAAAGAAAAAAAAAAATTACAATCCCCCAAAAAACCTGACAATAATACCATGGAAACTGTGGAGCAAAACATATGGACTTAATTACTAGCTCTGAAATCACACGTATGGTACAGAACACATATGGAGTATGAGAGGGGAGGGGTGTTTGTAACATGGACTGCTCATGTGCTGTTCTGGTGCAGCTTTGCAAATCCAAACTGGAGCAAGGGCTGTGTTCCTGTGCCAGGCTCTGCCTGCAGCCCCTGCAGCACCAGCACAGTGACCTGGGCAGGCACGTGGGACACAGAGAGACGGGAGCAGGGACACTGAAGACCATCTCACCCATGGAAAAGCCTCTTTGGGAAGGCAGATCATGGTAGACTTTGTGGATACCCCTCCTACCGGCTCCACAGGGCACCTCTGAAACCCAGCAAGGCACCACCAAGGATTGCCAATGCTGCTGGAACTGTGGGCAGCTGGCCAGGAATGGGGTGGTTGGTTTGGCCCCATCTGGCTGCTCGACTCTGCCCTGACTCAGGCTTGACTCGGGCTCTCTGTCACTGCCCCAGCTCTGACAGCTTCCTGGTGATGTCCCACCATGGCAGTGAGGTCAGCTTACTGCACCTAAACCTCAGTGACATCAGGTGTGGGGGCAAGCAGTGTCCCCCCTTGTTCAGAGCTGAGGGAGAGGGTAGGGAAGGGGTCCCCACCCCAAAGAGCCAAGCCAGCACCCAGAACACATCAGGTGTCAGGGATGTAATCACCAGTGGGTTCCCCTGGGCAGCCCCAAGCCTCAGGCACCCCCAGAGGTGCCCTGCTGCCCCCTGAGACCTACACAGGGCTCTGCTGGCTGCTCACAGAGTCACTCACTGTGGGTAACGAGAGGGTTTTATTTCTGTTACCAGCACTGTCACCTGATTTCTAACTGGGAAATGAACCCCTGCCCATTAATCAGGAGTCCTTAATAAATACCAGCCTGGAGTAATTAATGGAGCTGCCTGTGCCCCTGTGGCAGGGCTGGCTCAGTGCTGCTCCTGGGCCATCCAGGGGGAGGGCACCGGCCCTGGGGCACAAAGCGGCACCACGAGCTGAGATCCAGCCTTCAGTACCAAACCTTCGGGGCTGACAGCAGCCTTTGGAAGGGGGCTTAGTATTCCCACAGGCTGCCTTGACCTCGTTAACAGCCTGACTGCAGCTAAGGAAGCAAAACCAAAGCAGGGAATTGAGGTGGCAGTGGCAGAGCTCTGTCTGTGCTCCTCCCTGCCGGGCTCTGCCCTCCCTGCTCCATGCCCTGCCTTCCAGGATCTGGCAAGTGCAGAGCTGAGGGTGGGATTGCTGCTCAGGTGACTGAGAACCTGTTTCACAAAAGCAAAGGGAAGGGCAAAGAGGCTGGAGGGAGGGATGGGGTGTCATTCCTACTTGCATGATTTCGGTGCCATCCATTGGCACCCAGCTCCTCCTGCATGTTTGCCAGCAGGATCCATCCTTGGGCCATGAGGCATGGATCTTCCCTCCCAGTCATGGCTAGCAGCAAGGAGCTGGATCACCCCACCAGGCTGGCTCCCCAGCCCCTCTCCCCTGCTCCCCAGGGACACGCACAGTGTCCCTTCCCTTCGCTCACTGCCTCACTGGAAGCACATTCTCACCTTGAGGAGAGTGGAAATGGCAGCTGGAATGTGGGCTGGAAAGAACAAGAAAGGGAAAAAAAAAAATAAAAAGAAAATCTTGAGGCTTGTCCAAACCTATTCATGTTTATATTGGAGCCTGTGAGTGACATCAGAGCAGGGAGAGTATAAACACCAGCAGGACCTACTCCGGGCTTTAAAACCTGCGAACACCCCGCTGCCTCCAAACTGCCTGGGGGGTGATGTGCTGAAGTGGCAGAGGGGAGAGCAGCATGAGGCTCCAGCTGGAGAAGCAGCTCCTCTTCCTCTCCCTCCTCTGCATCCTCTCCAAGGTAAGGGAGACGGGGCACTGGGGCAGCTTTAGCCTTACCCGTGGAGCTCCCGGGTCGTGCAGGGAGGACTGGGGTGTCCGGGGCCAGGCTGTGTGGATGCAGCCCCACGGGTGCACAGCTGCGCTTGGGAGAGATATTCCAGATTAAGCAGCAGGGTCTGAATGTTCCTGGGCCACAGGTTGCGCTGTGTGAGTCCCTGGAGCACACAGGAATGACAGCAATGTGCTGTTTGCTCGCTGTCCCTGCAGCTCTCTGGGCTGTGCTATGTTCAGTCCCCTGGAGCCAGCGAGCAGCAGCTCGGCAGCAGTGGCTCCTGCAGGCTCCTCCATCCCCACCCAGGCTCCCGAGGCAGGGGCCAAGCAGCCCTGGCATTACTCAGCTTTCCCTGCTTCTCGGGACGCTCACACCAAGCCAATGCCTCTGACAGGATTTGGGTCGTTGTAGTGGTTTATTTTTTTTTTTTTCTCTCTTGGACTCTGTGTGAAGATATTTGCCTGTGCAGAGAACAGGAATGTTGAAAAGCTTGGGGCATCTCAGCTCCAAGTTAATTAGAGCTGCTGCTCAAATCCCTTCTGCGAGCAGGGATGTCGTGGCAACGCTGTGCCTATTTGAGTCCTTTCCCAGAAAGTTCAGATCTCTGATAGGAGCCCCATCGCCACCTAAAGACAAGTAAATTACAAGGAGCAGAGGGAAATGGATTAATGGCTTGGCTAATCCTTACTAAAACATCGATTTGTAATAGCAACCTCCTGGAAGATGAAAAATGCCCTTGGCTGCCTGTGACAGAGAAATTATTCTTGCCCCAGGTGCTTGTGAGAGTCACCAAAGGCCCTCGTGCTGCCAGCCCAAACCTGGCCACCACAGACAGTCCCTTGGTCCCTGCCAGAGGTCTCTCTCTGGTTTCTGACACATTAATAATGCTGCTCATTGATAGAACTAGAACAAGACCCAGCCCATTTTGGATGTGTTTAATCTCTACTTGCTGGCACTGACAGCCCCATAAAAGACTGAATGGCTGCAAATGGGAAACAGCACATCAGCACCTACCTTCTCTGTCTGACTGGTCGTGTCAGACCTGCTGCCACTGGGAGGAACTGCAAATGAAAGGAAAATGGTATCTAAAACCTGAGGGGCTCGGAGCTACCAGGGGGCTCACACGCACTGTCAGGCCAGTACTGGCAAGGAATTCAGTCCCAAACTGCAGAGCCAGCTCTCTTGGCTTCGGGCTCCGTATGCAACAGCCCCGTGGGATATGACACGTCGGGAGCACAAGAGCTGCCTGTGAAAGCAGAGTGTGCCAGGGTGGTTGTGCAAGCAGGATGAGCTGGCAGGATAAACACCCCCCAGCCCAGGTGAACTCCTGTGGGCACATCCCTGGCAGACAACTGGCTGAGCAGGCGAAGGACTGCCATGCACAGTCCTGCCAAAGTGATTAATCAGTCTAGCCAGGAGGGAAAACACAGCTCCCAGTCCAGGGAAACGTGCCTATCTCCGGGCCCCTCGCCCAGTGGGCCAGGCCAGGTGAGGATCCAGCAGCCAGGGACAGGCTGAGGATGCAGCCCTGTTTCTTGGCACAAAGGACAGCATGGGGTGGGCTGCTTTCCCTCCCTCACACTGGGCTGCTTGGGGCTGCTGAGCTCATTAAATGACCATCACTGCATGGGGTCTCCACCTTGTAGCTCCATCCTCCTCCTGTGTATTCAGAGCAGAGTTCCATTTAGGACCCAGTCTTGCAGGGTGCTGAGCATCCTTGATTCTCCCTGGTTTTCCATAGGTGCCCTTCAAAGGGGACAGTAGCTTTCCAGGCTGCTTCACCATATTCCTACGGATTTGCAGAGCCCTTGTGATTGAGAGGTTACCTGGCTGTCCCAGTGACTTCCCTGTCAGCCCAAACCAACCTGTCTGGACTCAGCAATGGCTTTGCTCCACAGGTGTGTGCCCAGCTGTGCCGGAGACCATGCTACTGCCCCTGGGTGCCACCCCGCTGCCCCCGCGGGTCCCCCCTGGTCCTGGATGGCTGTGGCTGCTGCAAGATCTGTGCCCGGCGCCTGGGGGAGCCCTGTGACTTCCTCCACGTCTGCGACCAGAGCCAGGGCCTCGTCTGTGACTACAGCACAGCACCTGCCGGGACAGGAGGCACCTGCAACTGTGAGCACAGGGGAGCCCGTGCCCCCCGGGGATGCCCCCACACCCCAGTTCCACCCATGGCCACCCAGCTGGCTGCAGGCAGCCCACAGCACTTTCAGGGAAGTGGCTGAGACTAGGAAAGCAGCTCTTCTGAGGAACTCACGTATGGCTTGGCCATTGGGCTGTGCTGTTTTTTGACTGAGGATTCAGGGTGGTTTGAGGGAGGATGGGTCCTAGGGATGTTGCAGTCACCCAGCCAGGGTTGGAGCCTGGCAGTCCTGCAGAGAAATCTCAGAGAAACTTTGTCTAGCCTGGAAACCCTGAAGGCAGGGTCAGAGCCAAAGGGCAGGGAGTTTCCCACCAGCTAGTGAGCTGATCCTCTGAAAAAACAGAGAGATGAGGAGGGAAGGTAGGGAGGGGGAGGAGGTTTGGTGATGAACATGCTGCTGCACACCCATGTCTGCCCAACATACCTCCCAGTCACTTCTATGGCCTCTCTACATCAGTCCCTTCATGCCAGCCCCACAGTTACCCCAGCAGTCCCCTCTGCCACTCACATCTCTGTCCCTGTCTGTCACCTGCAGTCGAGGATGACGAGGAGGGCTGTGAGGTGAACGGCCGGGTCTACCGAGACGGAGAAGTTTTCCAGCCCAGCTGCAAACTCCAGTGCCGCTGCCTGGACGGGGGGTTCACCTGCATCCCACTGTGCCAGGAGGACGTGCGGCTGCCCACCCCGGACTGCCCCTACCCACGGCGCGTGGAGATCCCCGGCAAGTGCTGCCCTGAGTGGATCTGCGAAGCCCACGACCAGCACCTCCTCCGGGACGCCAGGGCAGGTAAGATGCAGGGCACCTCCAAGGAGGGGATGCCTGGGCAGGTCTCTGGGGATGGCCCCTTCACCCCCAGGCTGCGAAACATCAGCAGGAGACACCTCACCTCATGTTCCTCTGCCACGCGGGGCTCTGCCCGCAGCACCGCAGGGCAAATGCACAGAGCCTGGCTCCAGCCACCCTTTATCCCCTCCTCTCTTTTCTTTCAGCCCCCAGGCCAGTGTCCCCAGTGCTGCCATACCCCTGCCAGGAGTGGGGCACAGAGTGGAGCGCCTGCTCGGCCAGCTGTGGCGTGGGCTTTGCCACCCGCGTGTCCAACCAGAACCGCTACTGCCGGCTGGAGACCCAGAGGCGGCTCTGCATGCTCAGACCCTGCCCCGCCCTGCCCGCAGCGTTCCCGGCGGTGAGTGAGAGTGGAGCTGGGGGGTTGACAAAGGGGAGAGCCACCCAACACCAACCACGAGACCCCCACTTAACTGCGGGCACCCCACCACCCCTCCTCAGCCCTGAGCTGAGAGAGTCTCGGGGACAGATAAACCATCTCCTGAAACTCAGCTGGGAAAACACCTGACAGCAGGTGTAGAGCTGAATTTTGGAGTCTCTGGATGTCTGAATTCAGGAGCACCCTGGAACCCACACAGGTGAGCTCGGCCTGCCCCTGTGGCCAGAGATGCAGTCGCAGCTCCTGCCTGGCTCCCTGGGCACACCCCAGAGGTGGTTCTGCCACCCCTTTACTAGCCTGGCACAGCCCCAGTGTGAACATGGTGTAACCCAGCCTTGCTGCCACACGCCCCTGCTCCCCAGACGTAGAGAACACACCACATCCTGCTCTATCTCCCCATCATTCTCCACTGTGCCTTTCCAGAGGGCAAGAGGAGGTCGTTTGTAGCTGTGCCCACCCTGGTTTCATCCCGGAGCCAATGCCTCATCCCGGCAAAGAGTCTGGCACAAACCTATGGCATTGTGGTTTTGGTGAAGATGGAGAAACTAGAGAAGTTTCCATCAGGAAACTAGAGAAGAACTGATGGACTTTGGCTGCAAAGGAGGCTGGAAATAGAGAACAAGACCCCCCTCTCACTTGGCACTTGCCTCCTCTGTGCACCCAGCTGCCCCAGGCAGGATTGGTGGGCAGCATTCCCGAATTTCTTAGGCTGAATGAAATGGGAAATGGGAAAACCCTGCCCCAAGCATGAACCCACCCAAGAAGCCAGGAATCACTCTTCTCCTGGATCAGTGGAGCTCCTGGAAAGGTGATGCTGCTCCTCCACCACATCGTGCAGCTCTGCTCTGAAAGGACTGCAAGACAGGCCATCTCCAGCACCTGGAAGCCCAAATCCCTGGAGGGAACCCTCATGCCCTGGCCCCCCAGGGAAGGAGCAGGTACATCAGACTGCACCCCACAGGTCATGCCGTGCCAGGCTGAGCCACTCCATCGTGCAGGAGCTCAGCCAGCCCACGATACCCACCCCGCCACCAGCAGCTCCTTCCTGGGCACGGGCAGGGCCCTCCTGCTGGCAGCTGTAATTCACCTTCCCTGCACCCCTCCAGAGCAAACACGAGCCTTCCCGCTCTCCTCCTGGCCTCCTCCTCTCCCAGGCGCTGGCGGTCTGGCAGGGCTGCGGCGAGCGAGGAGCTCAGACGGAGACACCGTCCCGCGGCACCAGACATACCGCCCGCCATCCAAGCACATTCCCTGCGAGCCCAGGCCAAAGGAAAAGCAGGGGAAGAAAGGGAAAACAAAATCGCCGAGATGAGTGGGAGCCGCCTCTCGACGGGCTGGGGCTGCTCCAGCTGTGCAGGAGTCAGCGCAGGAGAGCTGCTCTGGCTGTGCTTTCCCTCAGCAGGAACCCTTGGGGCGATGGAAAATGAAACCCAAATGCCCTCTAACGGCCTCGCACCAGCGTGCAGAGGGAACGTTCCAGCGCAGGCAGAGAGGGGCAGCTGCAAGGAGCGGTGGCGTAGGTGACACGTCCAGGTGAGGTCCGGACCTCTTAGATGTGTATTTCTGGAACTAAAAATAAAGGTGTGCTCATCCAGGTGTGCAGCTTGTCTTGTGCATCTTGAGCCCAGCCCGGCTGCTCACGGCCAGCTTGAAAGCGGCACAGGATGGGGCAGCCTGGGAGCACCTCAATTCAGGCTGTTTAGAGTGAGAAAAGACAAGAAAAAAGAAAAAACTATTGTGAATCAAAGCACTGAACACATTATTACAGTATATCCTATCCTGGTTTCAATCATGACCCTTTGCTGATGAGCTCCATCAGCTCTGCCGACAGGACCAGCCCTGCCCACAGCAGTGCCCAGGTCTCTGTGCAGGGTCAGGATGTGCAGGACAGCACTGGCTGCCCTGCTGCACCTGCAGCTCCTCAGCCTCCTAAAAATCAGTGCCCAAACTCCCCTGTGACTCATTTCCTGCTCCTGCCAGGCCCACACCTCCTCTGCTCCCCCCAGACTGGGATTCCCCAGATTCATGTCACCATTGCCACCAGCTGACTGTCCTCCCAACCCAGGGGCAGATTTGGAGGTGCAGAGGCTGAAAGGAGAGGGTGCTCTCCTCTCCATCCCAGGCAAAAACCTTCCTCACCAGCAGCAGGAAAGGCAGCAGGGCCAAGGCAGCTGCTCACCCACTCCCTGGGCTCTGCAAGGGCTGGAAATAAAACTGAAGTCAAGGATGCCTTTCAGGCACTTGTGGGGGGGGAGGAGAAACAAGAAGAAACCTCACTGCTCGTGCAATAAAACATTGCTTACAAAGAGAATTATTTAGTGTGATCATCTGGTGCTCAGCCTGAATTCAAATCATTAATTCTGTTTGATACAGGGGATATGGTGAACCCCCATCAGGCAGCAAATCACAGAGCAAACAGCTTTGGTTGGCTTTTTTAGTTCTGTGACGGCTGTGCCAAGAAAGTGATGACACAAGGCTCATGTAGACTTTAAAACTACAGTGTTCCTCAACTGACATGGATAAAACATGTTGAGTGTACTGAAAATCCTGGTTTTAAGCCAGTTCTTGTTTGAATTTGTTGGGACTTGGCCACCACGGCCAGGTGAGCTGTTGGCAGGGCTGTCACCCCCTCCCAGATCCTGCCCAGACACCTCTGGGTGATGGTCAAAATCAAAAGGTCACTTTTTAAGAAGCAACCTGTAATTTTCATCTCAAACAAATGACTCAGTGCACCTCTGCTATAATTGTCTTTTTTTTTCCCCCCCTGCAGAATGTCACTTCTCCCTGATTCACTAAGCAGAAAACATCTAAATAATGAATTAATGATTCCAAATAAATCAGAGTTATTTCTCCGTAAGAATACAAGGAAAGCAACTCTTGCAATTTGATTGCCAGTCTCACAATATTTGTCATTCCCTCTAAAGCCCTGCTACCCTGGAAACACAGCTATTTGAGGCTCACGTTTATGACAGTCTCTGACGCAGGGTCCTGTCTTTGCCTGCTCGTGTGGGGGATCCACAGGTGATATTGGTAACCTGTAAAGATAAAAATCCCAGAACCAGAAGAAAATTCACCCTTATCCTTAAGGCCTAAGGCCACAACTGCACACAGACACAGCACAGCTTTGCCAGCCACACTCCTGAGCCAGTGGTGAGCAGCAGATCACGGCTCAGAGAGGGCTGCATGAGCCCCTCATTAAAGCAAAACATTTTCAGAAACTGAGCACAAGAGTGCAGTGCTCAGTTAAAAAAATGGGCCTTTTTTTGATTTTCCTGGAAGCCCATCACTCTGGCTGTCTGTTTGCAGGAGCTGTCTCAGCCCTGAATTTTCACCCTGCCAGCAGCAAGTTTTGCCTTCACTGCTCAGAGCAGCTCACAGCCCTTCCCATGCATGATCTCAGCATTCCTCCCAGCCAACTGCTGTCTCTGCCTCAGTGTTCCCAATGGTCGATGCTCTGGGACAAAGGGAACCACTCCCAGTCTGTTCCTCTCCTCTCGCTGCCCTTCCACACTTCCATAAAGCTGCTCTGCAAGTGGCACCCCCAGCCCAGGCTGCAGGAGCAGCTGAAGTGCACTGAGGTGAGGGGGGCAGGAGCTGGGCAGGATGCTTCCCTGAAGGGTGCATCCCCATGGACCCTCTTCTCTGCTGCTGCCACTCCAGGAGCACAGACCCACCAGAGGCTCTGCAAACCTCAGAAAAGGTGTATCCTCACCCCACGGAAGCAGCTTCTTCAATCTGCCACTCCACCATGCCCGTAGCGCTGAGATTTTATTACAAAGGCAGGAAATAACAGACAGCATTTCCCATCACTTGTCTGCTCCAGCAAGCACTTTTTGAAGTAGACAATGATACTCCCAAAAAAGCAGCTACCACCACCCCATCTGCGTGTTGGGCTCCCTCACCCTGTCCCTGAACTGCCATGCCCGAGGATGGTCCAGTGGAGATGTTCGGCTGCTCCCGAGGATGGACAGACAGCCGGGATGGCTCGGCAGGACCCACCCCTCCTCCTCCCCCCTGGCAGTTGAGCTATCAGCCTCCTCCCATCCCTGCTTTGATTCGGCTCCCGGAAAGCAGGTGGACGTCGCCCTTCCTGGGCCCGGCCCTTTTCACCTGAAGTTGTTTTCCCAAGGTTGTTTTTTTGTGTGGCTTGCCAGGGTAAACCCTGCTGATTACTGCCCTGTCGATTCCCATGCCTGGAGATAGAGTTATTTCTGGCCCCGTTTATGAAGCAGCAGTTGCTCAGCAATGCAGTTGAGGCTGCCTTTCCTTGGGATCTGCCTTAGGGTCGTTGGTTTTAGCTCTTACCCCAATTTCACAGTGTCTGGGTATGTCCTGTGTGACACCCCCTGCAACAGGGAAGGCAGGAGAGGAAGGTCACAGCCTGTCTTGCACATCCTCCCCTCACGGGTCTAAACCACTCAAAGGAGGCGGGGGAAAAGGGAGCTTGTGTTTGGGGAGGGATACAGAAACAGGCAGCAGGACCAGCTGTAGTGCAGAGACAGCTCTTCAGCAGGCAGTGGGGCTCACTGCTGCCTATGCTGGGGACAGGCAGCCTGCCACACCTCTGCCTGCTGGCACTGCCAGTGCCACAGGCTCTGCCAGAGCGGGAATGGCAGCACGAGCCCCGTGGGACACTGCCAGTCTCTGCCTCAGCTCTGCCGCTGGTATTTCTGAGCACTGGGGCCAGGAGAAAGAGTGTCAGGAATGGAAGTGCCAGGCCAGCTCGTGGAGGACAGGCTTCCAGCACCCCAGCCTGGAAAACTGGGAGATTTCTCCTTACCCCAAGCGGGACAGAACAGGAACAGGCTGAAAGCCTCGTCCCTCCTCATCAGACATCTCCGCAGCAGAGCCCTTCTCCCTGCTCCCTACTCCCTGTCTCCCGCTCCCTTCAGGCACACACAGCACCCAAAAATAGCCAGGGGGCTGCGATGTCCCTGGCGCCCGGCTCAAAATATCTGAAGTTGGCTGGTGGGAGGCGCCGAAGGAGTGGCAGGAGCCACCACCACCCAGGCTCTGTGCTGGGGCCGCCCTCACCACATCCTCCCCGTGCTCTGGGGAGAAGCCCAGCACTGCAAAGGCCCAGGCCGGGTTCAGCAGGAGCGGGGAGGTGAGGGCAGCCGCAGCCTGTGCCAGAGGACACGCCGCTGCCAGGGCTGGCTCTGGGCACGGCGCTGCTGAACCAACCCCACCGTGGGCACCGGCACCTCCGAGCGCTGCCAGGGCCTGCCCCGCCGGCAGGGCTGCCACAGCCCCCATGGCTGCTGCCACGTGGCCCGGCAACGGCAGCGGGGCTCCGTGCCCTGTGGATGCCGCCTTCGCCCAGCGCTTCCTGCCCGCCGTGTACCTGACCGTGATCCCGCTGGGGCTGGCGGGGAACGGGATGGGGCTGTGGCACTTCTGCACGGGGCCCCGGCAGGGCGCCCGCCAGCCCCTCAGCCTGCTGGTGGGCAACCTGGGGCTGGCAGACCTGCTGTACGTCAGCACCCTGCCCTTCCTCGTCAGCTACTACCTGCGGGGCAGAGTGTGGCTCTTCGGGCGGGGCTGGTGCCAGACCACCCGCAGCCTCTTCCACCTCAACCTCTACGCCAGCATCGGCTTCCTCACCTGCATCAGCGTCCACCGCTACCTGGGCATCGTGCACCCGCTGAAGGCGCGGGGCAGGTGCCAGGGGGCCGCCTCCTCGGTGTGGCTCAGCGTGGCCGTCTGGGTGTGGGTCGTTGCCCAGGTGGCTCCTGACCTTGCCTTCAGCAAGACGGACGGCACGGGCACGCGGTGCCACGACACGACGGGGCGCAGCAGCCTGGACGGTTACCTGCCCTACACTTTGGCTGTCACCGTGACCGGGTTCATCCTCCCCTTCCTCATCATCATCGGCTGCTACTGCCACGTGGTGCTGGTGCTCTGCAGGAACGACACCATGGACCTCGAGCTCAGGAGAAGAAGCATCAGGCTGGTGATTCTCGTGATGGTTCTCTTCTCCATCTGCTTCCTCCCCTACCACATCTTCAGGAACCTCAATTTGCTGTCTCGTGTCTGGCAGCTGCAAGGGTTCTGCACGCAGGCTTCAAAGAACATCTACATTTCCTACCAGGTAACCCGGGGCCTGGCCAGCCTCAACAGTGCCCTCAACCCCCTGCTCTATGTGGTCACGGGCAAGGACTGCATGTCACGAATGAGGAGCATCCGACAAAGAGTCCGACAGCGGCTGGGGACCACCTCCAGCAGGAATACCTCTTGCCAGGCAGATCAGAGGAAGGGGAGCACAATCCTTTGTAAGGAGGAGGCTTCTGATGCACTCTGAGGTACCCAATGCCACCCCCCTACACGAAGGATGCACCACTTCAGCTTGTGCTTGGCCCCTTCCTGGGAGCAGCCCCCACACTGACACCTCTTTTGCAGAGATGGTGACTGCAGCATCATGGCTCCCATCTCACACAAAGAATAGACAGGACTGTCAGCATTGGAGAGCAAACTGGGATCAGGTTTTAAGAGCAAAGCTACTCAACCCAACCATTTTGCCTACAGTACACCTGGAGATGGAAGGAGATGGGCATCACGTTTGCTCCAGTCCAGAAATATTTCTCTCCAGCCTCCAGTGCAGCAGTCTGAGCTGGTGAACATCCCCCTCCTTCCTGGACACTCAGCAAGCTCCTCAGTGACTGAGGGATTGGGGGGAACGATGCCTTGTCCCCCTGCTGCATCCCCTCTCCCCCACTGGACGTGTTTGAGAAAGGATTCTCTCTTTCGCCTAAGGAGAGGACACTACCTGCATCACAAGACAGCTGAGAGGGTGGGTTTTTTGCAGGGTGCTTTAGAAATGGAAATATTCATTAGAAAATCAGGTTTTAAATACATGACTAAGCTGTACCAGTTTCTGGGCTAGTTGTTCCTGGGTGAGTGAGCTGTTTCAGGATCTGTGGGATCCTCTACTGCCCACTTCCTTTGCAGAAGTAAAAAGATTTTTAGCATTTCTCACTCTCTCTTGGAAGAACAAATAGCAGACACCAACAAATGGGCATTTTAAAGTTTTTGGAGGCTGTTGGTCAGGGCTTTATTTTGGAAGGCAAATGACTTTGATAGCTTGAACCGCTGCTTACAGCAGGCAAATCCCAGGAGAGTTTGCAAATCTTCAGGTGGGGGATTGCATCTGACATCCAGCCTTGCCAGGGGATGTGACTCGTAAAAATGAGACCTGCACAAACAGAGAAGTGGAATTCGGTGGCGAGGGCAGCGGGCGTGTCATCAGCTGGGGCTGGGGGGTCTCAGCCTCGGGGCGGGGAGTGTTTTTCTCTCCGGGTGTTCGCCCACCGCGAGCAGCTCAAACGTTTCGGTTCCCTCAGAGAAACGATGTGATTTGCAACAAACGGCTCCTGCAGCTCGGCTGGAGGAAGTGGGTTGCGAGTTAAAATCAACTCATTCTGCGAAAGTGCTGGCCCGCAGCCCCTTCCTGGGAGCAGTCCCCGCACACTGACACCCGCTTTGCCCTTTGCCTGACATTTGTCTCTGCCGGTTCCTCTCACGGCCCCACCTTTGCTGCGGCGTGGAGGGAGCAGGGCTGGATTTCAGTGCAGTTAACATGTCTAAAGTGCAAATAAACACCTCCTGCTTTCAGCTGCGAGTCGTCTGGCTTCTTTCAAAGCTTTATGGGAATTAGGGAACCAGGGAGGCCTGTGGGCTGGAGCAGGGACCTGCCTGTTCAGGGCGTGATGATGAGCATCCCAGTGCTCTGCAGACAGGGAGCTGCTGGGAGAGTGCAGGCAGCCAGCAGAGTGATCTGGGACAGGCGTGCACTGAGGTTTGTACCCAGACTCTGCCCAGCACCAGTCAGGGGTCCAGCAGAGGCTGTGTAGGAAGTGCCAGCGAGCTCTGCTCTTGCCCTCTGCATCTCTGTGCCCAGATCCATCTTCTCCAGTGCCCCCTCACATCACAGTTAATGATGATTTAAAGATCTGTATCCTGAGAAGCATCTCTGAGTCCCAGGGACATTTGCAGCCATAAATCTGCTCATTTTTCTTTGTCTTGC